TAAGACAGAATACCCTTTAAGCTATCAAAAATTTAAAAAGATACAGGAGGTCACTACATGTTGATAAAAGGTTCAATCCATCAACAAGAAGTATGTATCCTAAACATATATGCACCCAACATAGGAGCACCAACTTTCATAAAGCAGCTTCTAGGTAAACTTAAAAAAGATATTGACACTAACACTATCATAATTGGAGACTTAAATACCCCACTCACAATCCTAGACAGATCATCAAGACAAAAAATCAACCAGGAGATCTGGAACCACAACGTGACCATACTTGACCAAATGGACTTAACTGGTACCTACAGAACACTCCACCCAGCAACCACAGAATATACAATCTACTCATCAGCACATGGAATGTACTCTAAGATCGACCACATCCTCAGCCATAAATCAAGCATAAACAAACTTCATAAGATCCTGCCATGTACCATCTCAGATCACAATGGAATAAAAATAAATATCAACACCAAAACCCACAAAGCCATGAACACTACACACCATGATGCTAAGCAGCTCCAGGGTCAACATGGAAATCAAAACAGAGATGACAAAATACCTGGAAAGAAATAAAAATGAGGAAACATCTTACCAACACCTCTGGAATGACATGAAATCAGTACTAAGAGGGAAATTCATATCTCTGTGAACACATATGAAGAAAATGGAAATATCACAAGTTAACAGCCTAAGAAGTTACCTACGGGAGCTGGAAAAGCAAGACCACCAAAACCCTAACTTCAGCAGAAGAATCCAGATCACCAAAATAAAAAGCCCAAATTCTGACATAGAAGACAAAAATACAAAAAAAAAGAAAAAAAAAAGAAACTAAAAACTGCTTCTTTGAAAGGATAAGCAAGATTTGATGGTTCCCTAGCTAGACTGACCAAGAAAAAGAGAGAAAAAGCCCAAATAAACACAATCAGAAATGCAAAAGATCAAGTCACAACTGACCCTGAAGAAATACAAAAGATTATCAGAAAACTATTATGTACACTTATATGGAAACAAACTTGAAAACTTAAAGGAAATGGAGGATTTGCTGACATCACACAACCTACCCAAGTTGAAAGAAGAAGAAAGCCCTAAATAGGCCAATAACAATCCAGGAAATTGACTATACCATAAGAAAACTATCTACAAAAAAAAAAAAAAAGGCCTGGACGAGGTGGCTTTCCAGCAGAATTCTATAAAACATACAAGGAGGAAATGATAGCAATCCTATTGAAAGTATTCCAGGCAATTGAGAAAGATGGAACTCTCCCCAAATTATTTTATGAAGCTATTATCACACTGATACCCAAACCAGGTAAAGATTCAACAAAGAAAGAGAACTACAGAACAATATCCTTGATGAACATAGATGCTAAAATTCTCAACAAGATCCTAGCAAATTGGATTCAACAACATATCTCAAAAATCATCCAACATGACCAAGTAGGCTTTATCCCTGGGATGCAAGGCTGGTTTAACATTCCTAAGACAATAAACATAATTAAATACAACATATGTAAAACCAAAAACCACATGATTATATCATTAGATGCAGAAAAAGCTTTTGATAAAATCCAGCATCCCTTCTTGATAAAAACCTTCAAACATCTAAGCATAGATGGAATATACCTCAAAATGGTAAGAGCCATCTTTGAGAAACCCACAGGCAGCATACTGCTAAACAAATAGAAATTGAAGTCATTTCCCCTGATAACCAGAACAAAAAAAGGATGCCCACTCTCACCTCTCCTGTTCAACATAGTTTTGGAAGTTCTAGCTAGAGGAATCAGAGAAGAGAAGGCAATCGGGGTATCCACATAGGAAAAGAGGAAATCAAGTTATCCCTCTTTACAGATGACATGATGCTATACCCTGAAAACCCAAGAGAATCTGTCAAAAACCTCCATGCACTGATAAAGGACTTTGGCAAAGTCTCAGGGTATAGAATCAATGTGCAAAAGACAGACGCATTTCTATACACCAACAATAAACAAACAGAAACCAAAATAAAAAGCACAATCCCTTTCACAATAGATACCTTGGCATCTTCTTAACCAGAAAGGTGAAAGACCTTTACAATGAAAACTACAAAACACTGCTCAAGGAAATCAAAGATGACACAAGCACATGGAAAAATATTCCATGCTCATGGATTGGAAGAGTCAACATTGTTAAGATGTCCTTCCTACCCAAGGCAATCTACAGATTTAACACAATACTCATTAAATTTCCAGCAGCATTATTCTCAGACCTGGAAACGAAAAAACAGAAATTCATATGGAAACATAAATGACCATGAATTGCCAAAACAATCCTCAGGGGAAAAAAAAAAAAAAATCAGGAAGTATCACATTCCCAGACGTTAAACTTTATTATAAAGCTACAATAATCAGAACAGTCTGGTATTGGCACAAGAACAGGCATATACACCAATGGAACAGGATATTCTAGAAGCAAAACTCAATTTCTCAAATAACTCATCTTTGACAAAGCCTCCACCTCCAACGACAGGGGAGAGGAGAACCTATTCAGTAAATGGTGCTGGAAAAGCTGGCTGACCACATGCAGAGTATTAAAACAAGACCCCTACATATCACCATACACAAAAATCAACTCTAAATGAATCAAAGACCTAAATGTAAAATCTCAAACTATAAGAAACTTAGAAAATGCAGGAGACAACCTTGTGGAAATTGGAACTGGCAACCGATTCCTGACCAAAGCCCTAAGTGTCCATGCCATAAGAGATAAGATAGACATCTGGGACCTCATCAAACCGACAAGCTTCAGCTAAGCCAAAGAAACTATCAAGAGAGCAGAGACAGGCCACAGACTGGGAAAAAAATATTTGCCAACTATAAGTCTGACAAAGGCCTAACATCTAAGATCTACGAGGAACTCAAATGTGCTGACAGAAAAAAACAGTCCCATTACAATGTGGGCAAAAGATATGAATAGACAGTTCTCAAAAGAAGACATACGAGCCGCCAACAAATACATGAAAAAACGCTCAGTCTCACTAGTCATCAAAGAAATGCAAATTAAAACGACACTGAGATACCACCAAACCCCAATCAGCATGGCCGTCATCAATAACTCAAAAAACAACAGATGCTGGAGAGGATGTGGTGAAAAGGGAACAGTTCTACACTGTTGGTGGGAGTGTAAACTAGTACAGTCTCATGGAAAACAGTGTGGTAATTCCTAAAAGATCTAAAAATCCCATATGATCCCACAATCCCCCTGTTGGGAATATACCTGGAAGACTCAAATCACTCTATGAAAAAGATACCTGCACACATGTTTATTGCAGCATTGTTCACAATATAAGAACATGGAACCAACGTGCTGCCTATGGTGCTGGATAAAAAAAATGTGGTACATATACATATACATGATGGAATACTACGCAGTCATAAAGAACAACAAAATCATGAACTTCACAGCAACCTGGATCTATCACAGAAACTAAAAACTGAGTGTTATATGTTCTCACTCATAAGTGGATCTTGAACAACTATCATAATACTATAAAAAAATGGATTCCCAGTAGCAGGAAACTGCAGCGGGGCAGGGAGTGGACAGACAGGGTTGGCAGTCGTGGGAATCTGCCTGGGGAAGCAGGGGGTACACCTCATCTTCAAGAGTACCTGCATAATGATATTTGTACACCTAACCCTGAATTGTACCCCACATCTTGAAAATAAAAAAATCAAAAGTTAAAAATAAGTAAATCAAGTATATTTTGTGGAGGTAGATTTTAGATGTGATTTTAAGTAGCATACGACAAGATGAAAAATTGTTTATTTAGTATTCCACAAGCAATCAAGTAAGGAAATATACAGTCGGGGCATTTCTGATTTTCCAAATTTAGTTGGATTTTGAAAACTCCAAATAGTGAGAACACACTTAGATGGGGCACAGCTTAACTACCTGCCATTCTGATTGTTAAACAGGAGAGAAGTATTGAGCTGGTATGAGATAGCAAGTTAAACAAGAATATCATTAGAAAATTGACTAACATTAATTTGTCTGTTAAGGTAAATCTAACAACCGCAATGTGCATTAGGCCTAGATAATGGATTTGCTTTCTGACTTTTTGACACTAAGGGATATAACCATACTTTTTCATGGAATGACTGAATAAGTTACATGTGGAGGGGTTGTTGTATTGGTTGTGGGACTGGGATGACTAGCTGTCTACCCACATGTGTACTTCCTATTTCACAGCATGGAGCTGATGTGTCATTCCTGTGCCAAGACTGTTAAGAAGGAGTGTGTTTTCTCCACTCTCTTTCCTCATGGCTTGTCAAATGAAGAGGACTGTGATGGCAGAGTCACAGGGGGAAGGACGGCAGATCCCTGAATCACCACAGGAAGAAAACTGCACACTATATAAACAACCACCTAAAACATGAGGGAAAAGCAAACTCTTATTGTGTTAAGAAATTGAGAGTTGGGGATTTGTTATTTGCAGCTAATTTTACCTTAATTATTACATACAAAATTACTGCTAATTTTTCCAGGGTATTTGCTAATGAAGAAAGAAAAAGAAGTATCTGAAACTCAATTTTCTAACTTAGGACTACATTTGACTTATTTTTATATGTATCCTAATCACTAAGAAGGTAGAAAAACGGGTAAAATACTTATCAAATGACTATACTATACACTAATGCTGTTACCTCTATTATGATTATTCACATTATTTGCAAGTATTCTTTAAAATAAAAAAGGAAAATAGTGGTTCTGCCTTCCCATTAGGTGTTAAAATGGATACAAAGATGTGTCATCTTACTATGCCAAGTTCTCCTTATCAGTATGCACACCTTAGAAGAGTTTAATACTATAGGATTCCATCCTGCACCTTCCTCACTAAGACCCTAGCTGGTTGTTCCCTCCAGCTACACCTTCCTGCTCTCCTGGGGTGGCTGGAGCAGCCTAGGTCCAAGCAGGAGGTTAGAGGTTGGGGAAGTGCAATATAAGAATTACTGGCTATGACAAAAGATGTAAGGAAGCTCTTGGATGTCACCCCAGAATGCAAGACAGTTCTCAGGAAGAACAAGTATGAAGAAGATTTAGGTTTCACAGGTAGAAGTGTGGTTCAACACATCCAACAGCAGTGAAGCCCGCTGCAGGACACGACAGGGGTGCTGGTGAGCCTAGGCCACTCTGGAGAAAGCAATCAGCTGATGGTGGTGTGGGCATGCTGTAGAAGTCTGGGTGCTGGCTGAAACAGGAGCTGGTCAGGGCAGTGGAGACGCTGAAGTTTCTAAGTGAAGGGGGCTGTGGGGAGGATTTCACTAGGCCAAGTTTTGAGGCCAAAGGAGGATTGCTCTTGCTGGGTGGGGAGGCTCCACTGGATGGCCCACCCTTCTCTGAGGCCCAGTATCCTGAGGAAGCTTAACCTTCAGCCCACTTTAAAGGAGTGATGCTTCAAGGAACTCTGTTGTTTATCCTAAAGCAGAAATTTGTGGGGACTCTGAGAACCAACAGGCAGTTAAGTGGGTAATGCCACTGTTATGTTGGTCAGCTATGTTGTGAGCCAAATCCAGCCACGCTGCATTCCTGTGGCTTGTGAGAATGTAACAGTGGTTTTTACATTTTTTTAATGGTTGAAAAAAAATCATATCAAAAGAATAACAATATTTTGTGTGAAAAGAAAAACCAAATCAAAAGAATAATACTTTGTGTGAAAAGACATTTTCAAAGATAAAATAAGTAAAATCATATTAAAGATCAGTAATAATTGGTGAATATTTGTGCTCTATTTTGATAAGAAACACTATCTGAACCTCAAATAAGTGAAATTTTATACCTTCTGACAAAGAGAATTGCATTTTTATCATGAGTAGACTTGCACTGCAAAAACACACTCAACTATTATTATATTTTGATATCCATCAAAAAAAAATTCTGGAAATTTGTCTTCTCTCTTGTTATAGAAGTGTCTATATGAAATCCTACATGTTACCTCTTGGCCCACAAAACGTAATAGTTTTACTATGCGGCCCTTTAAAGAAAAAAAATTGCCAACCTCTGACCTAAGGAAGTATGAATCATTCCTCAAATCCAATTTTAAATGCTTTCTACAGGAACCCATTCTGCAAATAAATGAACTTTATTAAAGTAAATGAACACTTACTGGGCTGGATTCCATTGTCATGTCATGTGAATGGGATTACAACCCCTGTCTACTTCTACAGCAAAAGACCCCAGGGTCTCCTGTTGCATCGGGGTCTTTCCCTTCCCAAGGCAGCTGAATTTCACCACCAGACTGCAAATAAATCATCTGCAACGGGTCTAGGAATAAACCCCCACATTTGGTGTGGATGGTCTGGGGGAAGACACATTTTTTTCTGAGAAAATAAAAAAAACCATATATATCTCTCTCCACACCAACAAGGCATAACACTGACAAACACTGACTTGACCATGCCTCCAGTAAGCTGTTGCTGGTTCCTTCTTGGCCTCGGTTCAAGGGCCTCTGTCTCTTCCCAATGCCCCAGCTTCTCCTGTTGACAAACCTCAGATGCCAACTCAGGTCCTGTGACTTCTGGTACCACTTACATTTAGAAATTCCCTGTTTTGTCTATTGCTTAACTGCCCTAAATTCCAGACTCCCAATATCAATTACAGTATCTCAAATGTAACATATTCCAAAACTAGAACTGAAGGTGCCCAGCTGCCAGCCACCTGTGCCAACTCTTCAGGCAGACTACATCCTGGGCACGCTCAAACTGGGCTGGCCGCACTTCATTTCCCTCATGCCCACCTGCAAACTCTATGAGAATACAAACCTTCAAATTCAGACTCTGAATCCATGTCACTCCCCCTGTGCACCAGCATGGCTCAACAAATATCATTATTTGCTGGGTCTGTTCAGTGGCCTCTGAGCTGTTTCTCAGTTCCCAGTTTTGGTCTATATGGCCAATTCTCCAAAGAAAGCTCTAAGTAACATCACAGATAAAATCATTCCATTGCTGACACCCTCTCTGAGTTCTCCCTTCATATTGAGATGATGTCTGTGCATGGCCAATGCTACTACTCTGTGTGTGTGTGTATACTTTCTGTACACCCCCCTCACTAGAATGTAAGCTCCATGAGAATAAGCACATTGACTATTTTTTTTATTAACTGTGGTATGCTCAACTCATACCGTGACACCTAACATTGTAAATGCCCAGTAAATATCTGTTGAATGAATAAAGCATTTGTGGCTTTTGCTAATTAAAAGTCAAATCACTGTGAGGAATGCCTGTGTGGATTAATTTACAGAGAAAACCCAAGGGATTTAGAAACAAATGTTCTCAGTAAAAGCAAAGTTTCTCTGTTCTCAGACTGTGTAACACTGGCGGTACCCTGGAAGAGAGGGCCAGAGGCCACCAAGGAGCAAAGAGATGATTTTGTCCCCAATAGCCCTTGCCCAGGACAACGACGACAACAAACAAAAAGCAAACAGGAGTGCTGAGTACAACGAGACCAGGGAACACAGCCTGTGGAGGCTCCAGGAAGTCTTGTAGATGCCTCTACTGCCAGGCATGGCCAGGAGAAAAGCATGAGGGGAGTGGGTGACATGGGAGAGCTAGTGATTCCATGTGCAGAAGGAAACTGCTATTATTCTGTAAGAGGGTTAGACTCTCAGAACCCTGTAAAGGACAAAAAGGTCAGCTCAGCAGTATCTATAAGGGTTAATGACAGCCAAAGAAAAGTACATCTGTGGGTAGCGAGGACACCATGAAACTCTTGTCTGCCCCACCTGAAAGACGAGAGCTTCCAGGGAGAAGGGGAGGCCCAGGCTTGACTGAAAGTGAGGGTTCATGATAAAATTGTTGTATGTCTGGCACTCGAGTTTATGATTTGAGACTCAAACCTGTACATCTGTCTTTCCTTTCTACATCTCTGTAGTCTCACCTTTTCACCACAAAACTTTAAAGTCCTTACAGACCAGAACTGTATTTTTACTATTCATTGACTCCAAAAAGTGCCTTGTTGGTACATCTAGATGCTGAATATATTTTAACTGCATATATCTATATCATATACATATATACACATATATCTATGGTATAAATACATGTTATTTCACATATGTCTAGATGCTCACAGTATTTGAATTAGTTCACTACGTAGAAATTCTTTCTGCTTCTGACTATGTCATCTACTTTACTTCAGAGGCAGCAGTTTGTCTGTTTCCATTGATGCTGCAGCCATGATGCCTGGAGTGGAGCAGGTGACGTCTGCAGTCTTGGGACAACACTCCACCTTGTGCCACAGCAAGGTTTTATAACCAAAGTTGGTTCAACACCAGAATCTGATGAGAAACTTGCGTGGGAGCTGCCAGTATGAGCTTTTCTAATGTACTTCTGTTTGGACTTGCTGAACAGTATTGTCTCCCCACAAGGGGAGAGTATGAAAGCAAAGCCATGAACAGGTGGTAGAGAGAACTCAGGATCTGCTGGGCTGGAATGAAGTCATAAGCAGCTCTGGACTTTTTAGTCACATGGGCCAGTGACATCTTTTTCTGTTAAAGCCAATTTAGACCCGGTTTTCTGTCATGTACAAGAAGCACAATAAATAGTATATAAATCTCATTCCCTTGGAAGACTTTCTAACTTAAATTCTCTCAACCAAGCAGTATTAGACCAGCCAAATAAGTAAATTTCTCAATGGAGAGTTGCTATTGCAAACATCCTGTTGTAGGGGAGGTCATGGCCTGATCTGTAAACAGGAGAGGGAGGAGAACGATTGGACTTGGGAGTCAGATGCAGCCTAGAATGCCTGCAGACCACAAAACTTTTCCTAAACCCAGCTCCAGTTCCTGCAATCTGAGTATTGACAAGTCTGGTCACAGGGAGGACATCTTCAGTGTGTCAGCAGAACTATAGAAAAGATTACAGATTCTTAACAGAATAAAATAATATTGCCTGGTCATAGTTACATTCAGTGAATTTATCTGTCCGAACAAAAAAGCAATAGAAAATTTAGATATAAGCCTCCATTACTGTCCTCAGCAGCAAAAAATAGCTCACTCATTTCCTCTGCTATGCCACAAGGTATTCGGAGCATGACTAGAATGTTGATATCCTATTCTATTATATGGCTGAAGTTATGAAGATATGGTCATTGTTAATAAAGCCTCAAACTTAAATCGTTGTTAGCATCTGAACATATATAAGTCTCAAGTCTCTTGAATTACAAGGTCACACAAATTATTCATAAATATTTGAGTTTTTTTTCCTAAGGAAACAAACCTGAAGCTAAGAAACAAAGTTTTCTTCAAAAGGCAGTTAAAATGTTTGAAATTTTCCATAGTGAGACAGCCTTAAATAAATTAAGCATTTATAAAATACTACCAGGAAATTTTTTTTTTACTTTGAAAACCTCAACAGCTTAAATAAGTTTATTTGTTTTGTTTTTGATTTTTTTGAGTTGGAGTCTCACTCTGTCACCCAGACTGGAGTGCAGTGGCCGCTCCCGGCCACCGCAGCCTCGACCTGCTGGGCTCTGGTGATCCTTCCGCCTCAGCCCTCCAATTGGCTGGAACTATAGGCGCGCACTACCACGCCCAGGTGATTTTTGATTTATTGTAGAGATGAGGTCTCGCCAAGTTGCCCGAGTGAGTCTTGAACTCGCGAGCTCAGGCAATCCACTCACCTCAGCCTCCCAAGTAGCGGGATTACAGGCTGAGCCTTAAATAAGTTTACAATTCTGGAAGTAATTTTACATATTGATCATAGGTCAATAAACTGAGGGCTAGGGTCATTACGGGGCAAAGAGTGGCATTAGATTATATGAAGTAAATGGCTTCCCAGGGGTAAGAAAGCAGACTACTATTTCCAATCTAGACCTTCACCAAAGGTTGGGAATGAAAGCAAGGAGTCTAAAGGGCCCTGTCCTACCATGTTCCCTACCAGAGGGTGCCATCTTTCTACATCTGGTTGGTGAGAAGGTGGGATGGCCTGGGAATTCACACTGAATCCACATTCCAGGCTTAGAGCAGTGGCCTGCCAATGAGATGTCGGGACGCTTTCTTACTAAAAACCATCTATAAGAAATATATCTACATCTAACCTACCATGACTACCCTGCCTCAACCGGACTGCAAATGATGAAAGGGGTAACTATAGGAAAAGTAAGCTTAGTAAGTTTGGTTTTCCAAATTTCTATTAATTACATATTAATACTTTATGTGAAAGTAGGTTAAATCATTAAACTTATAAAAATCCCTCAGAGATAAAAGAAACTAAAATGCTAAGGATATATTTAGAATAAACTGATTAAATCTTATTTAAAATAAAAGAAAACTTAGCTATTTAATCGTTAGAGGATTTGAAATGCTGCCTTGAGCTACTTTTATTAATATTAAGATACTATTTTCAACACCACTGCCTGACAACTACAGCCTTTATTTCTTAAATCAATTCATATTTTTTCTGTGGTCTTGGTTTAACTACTCCTTTCTGGAGACAAAGCTTGTCAGTTCTCAAAATCAAAACATGCCTGTCTGGTCAGATCATGACCCTTCCTTTGCCAAACTGATCATTACTGATGCGAGGTTATGAGAGGTGGGGACGAGGAAGAGTAGGGAGTGATGAGAAGCTTCCTTCTGGATAAGGAAATCCTTTATTTACACCTGCTTTATCTTTATTCTAACTGAAGAGTGCTTCTGGCTGGTAGCAGGGCTGCACATGCCAAACTGGTCTGATCATTTGGTGTAAAAAGCGGGCTCTTCCCCCACAAAATTGTAAAACATTCCATGTGTTTACATCTTAAATGACAGAGAATTATGCCTTATCACGATGCCATTTTCAAATCAGCCAATATGCACAGCAAACATTTCCCTTGTTGACTTGTATCAACTTCCTATTACTGTTTTTACACGCCAAATCCTCATTTCTAAATTGTGACATATTTCCTGAGAATAAAGATTTCCTAAGCAGAATAAAAGTAAGCCACTCTTGATGGGCAAAGCCTTTTTTTTTAAACTCTAACTTACAAAAGATGAGGGGTAGAGTATTTACTTCTTTTCCAGAAGCGATGTTTAAATAGAACATTAGTGAACCAAATGACCAGTTGATGTCCAGCATGATAAACAGGATGCAGGCAATCAGTGACTCTGATTATTTGAACCTCCAACTCAGTATTTGCAAACATCAGCCTCCGCACAGGTATTTCACTGACAGGCTAGCACAATGGGGCGAACAGAGCTTGAGGATGGAGACCTGCTGTTTTTCCGCACTGTGTGCAGGTTTTCTGACTAGCTCAAGGTCAATGCAGGCATTTCCCCACGTCTCAACTGAAGCCGCCAGAGAAACTAAAAACCTGCCGGATGCTCCCGCTGTTGGAACATCCCAGGCCCCTCGGCCTCCCTGCGGCCAGGGGTGTCGTCTTGGCTGCGCTCTTCCTGGCGCGGCCTCGGCGGGCCGGCGCGACGCCGAGACTCCGCCGAGGCGAGAAGGCCCGTTTTCAGCCAGCCGCGCAGACCCCACTTCCCGGCGGCCGGCGGCGGCTCGGAGCAG